GCACTAATATATATATATATATATATATATATATATATATATATATATATATACACATACATATACACACACATACATGTATAAACTTCTATTTTAGCTAGTTTCTAAGGCAACATTACTTGGATTCATTTAGTTTAACTCAAACTAAAATTGAAAGAAATTAACTGAAATGTAAAAAAAAAAAAAAATCTATAAAACTACTTAGTAAAAATGTAATAAAAACGACAATAAAATTACTAAAACTTTAAAATCTAATTGAAAACATAAAATATAAAAACTAATTTAAAATATTAATAAAAACTCTCAATGATAGAAAAATCACACTGGTATGTGTGTGAGAGAGTTTACTCACTGAAGCGAGAGCTAGACCAAAGCTGGTGGACTGATGTTTCATCTGAATCTCGATCTTATGGAGCAGAGCTCCAATCTGCTCCTCTTCAAAACCGGTTCTGAAACAGCAGTTCATTTACATTTATTCATTTAGCAGGTGTTTTATTAAACTGATCGTCATGAGAAATTCAGATCCTCACAGTCAATCCAGACTTCTGTACACTGGAAAAGCTTGATTTAAAGCAACAAAAAGCTTGTCAACACTCACGCAATGATATCATCGATGCTTTGAGCAATGATGTGTTTGACCGTCTCAGTGTCGGCCTCCGCCATGCCCTGAAGCCCGATGGTGAAAGACGCTAGTCTAGTGCTGCCGTCAAACCTGCGTCAATCACACATTTAGAAAACTCCACTCTCAATAACCTGAGAGATGACCTGATTTTATAGTCAAACAACGTACCCCACTGAAGAGGAGAAGTCAGAACCGATTCCGGGCTCAATCAGGGCTTTGTAGAAGGGCGAGTTTGGACCAGAGATCATCAGAGAGGAGAGGAGGCTCAGAGTGAACGCCTCAAATGTGTCTGTGATGCTGAAACACGTAGACAAGCGGTTAGACAGTTAAACCACAAATTGAAAAAAATGACCCAAATATCGCATGAATATTTGTCCACTCACTCTCCCAGCAGATAACTCATGCAGAGCGTGTTTTGTTTCACGGGATCAGGAGCAAGTGCGTCAGGCATACAAGTCACATGATCCACTCTCTGAACAAAAGCAAAACATGACAAACCTCACAAAGCAGATTTTACAGTGTGTTTGTGGACTGATTGCGTTGCATTCTCTGCAGTGATGGGCGCTTTCGAAACACTGCTTCACGAAGCTCTGAAACATTTACGAATCTTTTGTTTTGAATCACACATTCAGAGCTCGTTTCAAACTTGCCACGTCACGTAATTCCAGCAAACGAGGCTTCGTTACGTCAAACTGTTTCGAACCTTGGTCAGATCAGATCAGAGGTTCAGAGCTCATTTCAAACTTAAGTCACATGATTTCAGCTAACAAGGATTTGTTATGTCGTACTGTTTTGAACCTTGATTTTGAAACGATTACAAATCTTTTGTTTTATATCAGTGGTTGGGAGCTTGTTTTAAACTTGCTAAGCTAAGCTTGCTTGATTTCAGAAAATGAGGCTTCACTACGTCATACGTGCCTTCGAAACATTTCAAAATTCGGAGGGTTTGTCGATAAGACGGCATAGATTTGGTGAACAAGCATTTTAACTGATCTATGTCACTTTTATGATGTAGGTTCATTTTTATTGATTTAATGAATTTTAATACTTATGTGTGCAAGGCATAATACAAAAAGGAGAATATTTAATTCCTTCTAATTGACCTAGTTTGCTACTTTGCCTGCCTAATAATACACAAAACAAGCAGTATAAAATAATAAAAGCGCACAAATTTGACAGAACCTTCGTATTTAAATGTATTTAAATATTTGTAGACTGCATTTAATAGATTACACTTTCTTGAAAATGTGCAATTGGTTTGTAAGGGGTGTAATTCTACATGTTTCGGTGTCGTTTTTACATTTTGACCAGCAGGTACCGCCAGCCTACGGTGTTTCAAATTCAAGCGCTTTGAAATTGCAATTGAATCAGTTTCGAAAAGCTTCATTTCTCCCATCACTAATTCTCTGTGTTTATTACACAGGTCCTTCTCATGTGTGTATTGTGTAACGTACAGGTTTGTCCCAGTGTTTTTGGGGTGGAACTGCAGTGTTTGGTTCTGCTCTCTCAAATTTAGACAGGGCCTCTTCTTCAATCTGCTGCAGGTGCTGCTCCAATGGTAAGTCCCCGTATGTGAAGAACCTGCAAAAAACATGCACAACAGGCAATAATGAGCATCGTCTGCTTTTTGCACTCTTTCATTTACAGAGTCGGAGAGTTTTGTGTGTGTACCGTGCATTGCTGGGGTGGTAGTGTGTGGCGTGGAAGTGTTTGAGCTGTTCCCAGGTCAGGTCAGGAATGGCTAGCGGTTCCCCTCCGGACACAACAGCGTATGTGTGATCCGGCAGGAGTTTATTCTGCAGGTGCTGAGCGTACAGACGCTCATTATCTGACTACACAAACAACACATGCAAGAGCAACAGAAGAGACTGTTAGTCTTAAAACTCAAATCAATATATACAGTGGGTACGGAAAGTATTCAGACCCCCTTAAATTTTTCACTCTGTTATATTGCAGCCATTTGCTAAAATCATTTAAGTTAATTTTTTTTCCTCACACAGCACCCCATATTGACAGAAAAACACAGAATTGTTGACATTTTTGCAGATTTATTAAAAAAGAAAAACTGAAATATCACATGGTCCTAAGTATTCAGACCCTTTGCTGTGACACTCATATATTTAACTCAGGGGCTGTCCATTTCTTCTGATCATCCTTGAGATGGTTCTACACCTTCATTTGAGTCCAGCTGTGTTTGATTATACTGATTGGACTTGATTAGGAAAGCCACACACCTGTCTATATAAGACCTTACAGCTCACAGTGCATGTCAGAGCAAATGAGAATAATGAGGTCAAAGGAACTGCTGGGAGAAAGTTGTAGAAAGTCATCACTGCAGCCCTCCACCAGTCGGGGCTTTATGGCAGAGTGGCCTGACGGAAGCCTCTCCTCAGTGCAAGACACATGAAAGCCTGCATGGAGTTTGCTAAAAAACACCTGAATAAGATTCTCTGGTCTGATGAGACCAAGATAGAACTTTTTGGCCTTAATTCTAAGTGGTATGTGTGGAGAAAACCAGGCACTTCTCATCACCTGTCCAATACAGTCCCAGCAGTGAAGCATGGTGGTGGCAGCATCATGCTGTGGGGGTGTTTTTCAGCTGCAGGGACAGGATGACTGGTTGCAATCGAGGGAAAGATGAATGTGGCCAAGTACTGGGATATCCTGGACGAAAACCTTCTCCAGAGAGCTCAGGACCTCAGATTGGGCCGAAGGTTTACCTTCCAACAAGACACTGACCCTAAGCACACAGCTAAAATAATGAAGGAGTGGCTTCACAACAACTCTGTGACTGTTCTTGAATGGCCCAGCCAGAGCCCTGACTTAAACCCAATTGAGCATCTCTGGAGAGACCTAAAAATGGCTGTCCACCAACGTTTACCATCCAACCTGACAGAACTGGAGAGGATCTGCAAGGAGGAATGGCAGAGGATCCCCTGAAAATCTTGTTGCATCTTTCCCAAAAAGACTCATGGCTGTATTAGATCAAAAGGGTGCTTCTACTAAATACTGAGCAAAGGGTCTGAATACTTAGGACCATGTGATATTTGTTTTTCTTTTTTAATAAATCTGCAAAAATGTCAACAATTCTGTGTTTTTCTGTCAATATGGGGTGCTGTGTGTACATTAATGAGGGAAAAAAATTAACTTAAATGATTTTAGCAAATGGCTGCAATATAACAAAGAGTGAAAAATTTAAGGGGGTCTGAATACTTTCCGTACCCACTGTATATGTGACATCCAGTACCATTGTAACTCCTGTTTTTAATGGGAGAAGAGGACCGATGTAGTGACATATTTAGTATATGGAAGTGTAAATTATGCATACCAAGCAGATTTTTTTTTTCTATACTTTGACATAATGGCTGCTATTATGCTGTTATACACATATTATAAATCAACAAAAGTGTTTTTTTTTTTTACACTTGTGATGACCAAAATAATGACTTAAAATGTAATGGCAAAAATGGCAATTTAATGTACAAAAGAAAACAAATAACTGATTAACACTACTAAAATAAAAAAGAATTAATGAATTTGAATAATATAACATAGTAAACATAATATTGGCTGATATCTACACTACCATTAAAAGTTTGGGGTTGGTAAGAGATTTAATTTTTTATTTTTTTCAAGTAGCAACTTTTGCTCACGATGGCTGCATTTATTTGATCAAAAATAGAGTAACAACTATAACATTGTGAAAAAGTATTACCATTTAAAATAACTGCTTCCTATTTTAATATATTTAAAAATATTATCAATATCAATGTAAAGAACAGTTGGGCTGCTTAATATTTTGTGGAAATTGTGATATATTTTTAGAAGATTATGAATAGAATGTCCAAAAGAACAGCATTTGTTTAAAATGGTAATCTTTTGTAATGTTATAAATATCTTTAACTTTTGACTAATTTAATGCATCCTTTCTAAATAAAAAGTATATAATTTCTTAAAAAAAAAATGTACTGACCCCAAACTTTTGAACAATAGTGTATAACGTCACTTACATATCATGCACGCATCTCTATGCATATCACAGATATATATTTTTTAAATCAGAAGAGCATAGAGGAGTTTCCTTACAAACTCTCCCTTCATCTCATTGAACACCACACCCTTGAACATCAGAAGACTCGAAGGGTCTGTGGGGGTCTTGTGCTCCAGTCTCCAGCCCTCCTGCCTGAAAAAAAACAGCAAATCCTTTTCAAAACCAATTGATGTGCTATTAATTACACTAACTGAGTATGTTTCTGAGTCATGGCCTTTACCAGAAGTCCAGTTCTCTGAGACATGGGAAGAAGACAGCGTCTAGATATACAGACAGAAGGTTCTGGAAGTCTTTGGCATTCTGGGTGGAGAACGGGTACATCGTGTAATCGCTCGCTGGTGGGAGAGATTGACATTCAGAAATACAAATCACACACACATACGCTCACTTAAACACAAACACACTTCAGGAGGTACCCGTGAAGGCGTTCATGAAGGTGGAGAGAGAGCGGTTGAGCATCTTAAAGAAGGGGTCTCTACAGGGGAAGCGCTGAGAGCCGCACAGAACTGTGTGCTCCAGAATGTGAGGAACACCGGTGCTGTCCATCGGCGTGGTACGAAACTGCACACTATAATAACACATGCAAAACACACACACACACAAAGCAATGTGCACATCATTGGGGCATATAACAGGGTCCAAATAAAATCCTAAGCATATGAATGTTCATCCGACACACACACACTGTACCTGAAGAGGTTGTTGGAATCGTCTCGGGCTGCATGCAGATACTGAGCTCCTGTGGCATCATGGGAGAGTTTAACGGACGTTAGGAACAAATCCGGCACTGCTGTTACCTAGATAATCACACTCAGTGTTAGCATTGGTCACATTGACAGACATACTTTCCAGAAGTGCTTTAAATGTCTGGAAGACTATCATTTAAATGTTTCCTAATTTGAGAGTTGCATTGTATAATAGCTTAGAACACAATTAATCCTATAAAGCCAACCGTATCATATCTGATGTTCATTTCTAAGGCCTCTAAATGAGCAACATGATCAAAACTGTTGCACAAACTCTACTACATGCCTTCTGTCGTCTGATTGATAGTTCATACTTTTTTTGGCAAATAAAAAGCCTTTTAGTTTAATTCTAAAAACGTTCACCTTCAGGTTGTGGTTCACATGTCTTTTGTCTGCTGTGAAATCTTTAGTGATTTTTAGAACGAAAGAATAACTTTTATACTGTTATTAATATTTCAAAATGAATATTTACTGGACTGAAGCAATTTAGGTTTACTTGATTATCCACACATTAGTTTCAGAGAAATCATGTTAAAACGTGTGTATCAAGTATGATCCATCAGGCTTTTGAGGAACGTTTAGTCTATTTGTTCATCTCTCAGTCATCATTGTACTGCTTTGCATTGTGTTTTAAAAATACTAAAACTAAGCATATAAATATCATCTTAAGACATATTATTGGGAGATATACAGTGATATACGTTTTATGCAAGTAGTCTTCTGAAGCGTTATAAAGATTTCATTTGTTTACAAGCTATAAGAATTTCACCTTTACTTTCTGGTCAAAGAAATACAGGTGCATCTCAATAAATTAGAATGTCGTGGAAAAGTTAATTTCAGTAATTCAACTCAAATTGTGAAACTTGTGTATTAAATAAATTCAGACTGAAGTAGTTTAAGTCTTTGGTTCTTTTAATTGTGATGATTTTGGATCACATTTATCTCAACAAATTAGAATATGGTGACATGCCAATCAGCTAATCAACTCAAAACACCTGCAAAGGTTTCCTGAGCCTTCAAAATGGTCTCTCAGTTTGGTTCACTAGGCTACACAATCATGGGGAAGACTGCTGATCTGACAGTTGTCCAGAAGACAATCATTGACACCCTTCACAAGGAGGGTAAGCCACAAACATTCATTGCCAAAGAAGCGGGCTGTTCACAGAGTGCTGTATCCAAGCATGTTAAATGAAAGTTGAGTGGAAGGAAAAAGTGTAGAAGAAAAAGATGCACAACCAACCGAGAGAACAGCAGCCTTATGAGGATTGTCAAGCAAAATCAATTCAAGAATTTGAGTGAACTTCACAAGGAATGGACTGAGGCTGGGGCCAAGGCATCAAGAGCCACCACACACAGACATGTCAAGGAATTTGGCTACAGTTGTCGTATTCCTCTTGTTAAGCCACTCCTGAACCACAAACAACGTCAGAGGCGTCTTACCTGGGCTAAGGAGAAGAAGAACTGGACTGTTGCCCAGTGGTCCAAAGTCCTCTTTTCAGATGAGAGCAAGTTTTGTATTTCATTTGGAAACCAAGGTCCTAGAGTCTGGAGGAAGGGTGGAGAAGCTCATAGCCCAAGTTGCTTGAAGTCCAGTGTTAAGTTTCCACAGTCTGTGATGATTTGGGGTGCAATGTCATCTGCTGGTGTTGGTCCATTGTGTTTTTTGAAAACCAACGTCACTGCACCCGTTTACCAAGAAATTTTGGAGCACTTCATGCTTCCTTCTGCTGACCAGCTTTTTGAAGATGCTGATTTCATTTTCCAGCAGGATTTGGCACCTGCCCACACTGCCAAAAGCACCAAAAGTTGGTTAAATGACCATGGTGTTGGTGTGCTTGACTGGCCAGCAAACTCACCAGACCTGAACCCCATAGAGAATCTATGGGGTATTGTCAAGAGGAAAATGAGAAACAAGAGACCAAAAAATGCAGATGAGCTGAAGGCCACTGTCAAAGAAACCTGGGCTTCCATACCACCTCAGCAGTGCCACAAACTGATCACCTCCATGCCACGCCGAATTGAGGCAGTAATTAAAGCAAAAGGAGCCCCTACCAAGTATTGAGTACATGTACAGTAAATGAACATACTTTCCAGAAGGCCAACAATTCACTAAAAATGTTTTTTTATAAAGTTGTGTATTAAATAAATTCAATGCACACAGACTGAAGTAGTTTAAGTCTTTGGTTCTTTTAATTGTGATGATTTTGGCTCACATTTAACAAAAACCCACCTATTCACTATCTCAACAAATTCGAATATGGTGACATGCCAATCAGCTAATCAACTCAAAACACCTGCAGAGGTTTCCTGAGCCTTCAAAATGGTCTCAGTTTGGTTCACTAGGCTACACAATCATGGGGAAGACTGCTGATCTGACAGTTGTCCAGAAGACAATCATTGACACCCTTCACAAGGAGGGTAAGCCACAAACATTCATTGCCAAAGAAGCTGGCTGTTCACAGAGTGCTGTATCCAAGCATGTTAACAGAAAGTTGAGTGGAAGGAAACAGTGTGGAAGAAAAAGATGCACAACCAACCGAGAGAACCGCAGCCTTATGAGGATTGTCAAGCAAAATCGATTCAAGAATTTGAGTGAACTTCACAAGGAATGGACTGAGGCTGGGGTCAAGGCATCAAGAGCCACCACACACAGATGTGTCAAGGAATTTGGCTACAGTTGTCGTATTCCTCTTGTTAAGCCACTCCTGAACCACAGACAACGTCAGAGGCGTCTTACCTGGGCTAAGGAGAAGAAGAACTGGACTGTTGCCCAGTGGTCCAAAGTCCTCTTTTCAGATGAGAGCAAGTTTTGTATTTCATTTGGAAACCAAGGTCCTAGAGTCTGGAGGAAGGGTGGAGAAGCTCATAGCCCAAGTTGCTTGAAGTCCAGTGTTAAGTTTCCACAGTCTGTGATGATTTGGGGTGCAATGTCATCTGCTGGTGTTGGTCCATTGTGTTTTTTGAAAACCAACGTCACTGCACCCGTTTACCAATCAATTTTGGAGCACTTCATGCTTCCTTCTGCTGACCAGCTTTTTGTAGATGCTGATTTCATTTTCCAGCAGGATTTGGCACCTGCCCACACTGCCAAAAGCACCAAAAGTTGGTTAATTGACCATGGTGTTGGTGTGCTTGACTGGCTAGCAAACTCACCAGACCTGAACCCCATGGAGAATCTATGGGGTATTGTCAAGAGGAAAATTAGAAACAAGAGACCAAAAAATGCAGATGAGCTGAAGGCCACTGTCAAAGAAACCTGGGCTTCCATACCACCTCAGCAGTGCCACAAACTGATCGCCTCCATGCCACGCCGAATTGAGGCAGTAATTAAAGCAAAAGGAGCCCCTACCAAGTATTGAGTACATGTACAGTAAATGAACATACTTTCCAGAAGGCCAACAATTCACTAAAAATGTGTTTTTTATGTGTTGAGATAGTGAATTGGTGGGTTTTTGTTAAATGTGAGCCAAAATCATCACAATTAAAAGAACCAAAGACTTAAACTACTTCAGTCTGTGTGCATTGAATTTATTTAATACACGAGTTTCACAATTTGAGTTGAATTACTGAAATAAATGAACTTTTCCACGACATTCTAATTTATTGAGATGCACCTGTAAAAGCAACTGCACCACTTTTTTGTTTGGGCCTCTGAATGAGCCATAAAAGTCTGATGTATCAAATATGATACTCAACAAAAAACACATACACAATTTTTGATTTTCTTTTACATTTTGTTTAAAGGTGCAACAAACTTTTCCATTAAAAAAAATGCCTTTTTTGATTATTATTTCATTTGCAATGCTTTACAGGATTAACTAAATCAAACCACTAGAGGTTGTGCATTACAATACAATGAATTTATCTTGGTTTTATAGAAACTCTCAGACTGGAAGGTGAACCCCTGTTTCACTGTAAGACGAAATAGAAACAATACAGGCAAAATGTGTATTTTCAGGATTTCTTTACCTCTTTAACAGTGAACCCGTGGATCTTCTGTCCCACAGTGTACTGCAGTGCTCTCTCTCCAGCAGAGCTGCCTCTAGACCTCCATGAACCCTTGAAACTACAAACCCCTCATTCCTCAGACTTACAGAGCACACTAATCAGCACGACTGAGCTTTTCCCAGAGCATTACAGTACATCGTACATTTCAGAACTCAAACTTATATCTTTAAACGTGATGACAATAATAGCAACGACCTGAATGATACAGTAATCACAATTAAAATACAAACAACAGCCTAAAAAGGACCACGCATATATTTGACACTGAAAGACTGAAGTTTCATTCAGTGTAGTATTACTACTCACCTCGAATTTTTGAGTTTCGCAATGAATACCTTGCCATGTCGAAACATTTTAGACGCTTAATTCTACTGTCTCTAATAATTACTGTGAATGCCGCACCCATTTAAAAGTTAAAACACATTATATGTGAGTTGCTGTTTCCGTTTATTAAAGCTCTACCTTTCTATGTTCCATGCTGTACACGGCGCATGCGCACTAGACGCGACCTCAACCGCAAACAACGCTGCTTTTCATTGGCTGCAAGATAAGAAGAGCGCAGTCGATTGATTCATACCGACCACCGCTTGTACATAATACAAGTATGTCTAATACATTTAAATGTGATACTATAAAAATATGGATTGGAAAAATATACAGATTTTTAGAATCACTTTACCGAACACTCCTTATAATGACCGGCAGGTGTCAGTAGAAACAGAGGTCACTTAATAAACACAAGGGTCAAGTACTTAGAAATGGAAGGAGCGCCTAAATAAACGTTTACTCTTTGGAAATATAGGGAGTTACTCATTAGGGTTAAATATCTTTTTAAAAGTTTTAAAACGATAAAGTGGTTTCTGGAGGGAGTTTGTCCTTATTAAGATTTACCATGATTTATTCCCAAAATTCATTGTTAGTACAATCATTGTCACCACTGTAAAATCATATATTTTTAACATCTTTATTACATATTGGAAGACTAAGTCCATTTAACATGTCTAATGTTTTTATATTATTTAATTATTGCAGATATGTGGTGCATTTAACGTTTTCTGCAAATTAATAATTTAGAATCTACAAAAATGTAGTTATTTTATGACAATTTAGGGTAACACTTTAGTTTAGGGAACACATATTCACTATTAACTGATAGTGTTACCTAATCTAAAGTGTTACCCAACCTATACATCACATATGGAAGACAACGTGCATGTGTTATGGTTTCATATTTTAAATTTGAATTTAGCATTTTCGGCAGAGTAATAAATTATAAATTTTATTTTATAGCTTACTTTTATAACTTATAACATTATTTGTTCTTTTTTTTATAGGACTGAAATCTACTATTTATTTAAGCCAGAATTTGTTTTAAAGTCATTTTTAATTTCTGTTAATTTAATTTCAGTTTTTTTTTCATGTGGGTTTTAGTTTCTGTCTGTGTTTTTGTGTGTGAGGGTGGGTCTGCAGAACATGTCGTTCATCTCACTGATGTCTGTTTTAAGTTCATGTAGAGGTACAAGTCTGTGAAACACTCCCATGAACTTGAAGTACTGAACATTTGTTGTAACATTGAACACAGCGCATCATATTTTTTGTCCACACAATGTTCCAGAAGTCTGTTTACAGTTTAGTCTTTTTTCTGATACAGGATCCCACCTTAATCTCTAATGTGTAAAGTTCAGCAGTCAGGCCTGTAAAATGAGAATCTAATGTGTAGTGTTTTGCACATTGTATAATAAAGAAACCACAAAACAGAGTTTTATAAAAAAAAATCATTATTATTGTGGTATAAAATGTATTTACAAAGATAATAAAAATCTTACAATATATTGTTGCTTTATAGAGATCTGCTTTAATAACATGCATTTTGTACGATCCCACTTATTTAGGTAAAGTAATTAAATATATACTGTATATATATATAACATAATACATGAGAATATGGAGCTCATTCTTGAGGATGACAAAAAAAAAACCCTCTTTTTTAAGCAAAAACTAAAAAAAATCGGAGCAGCTGCTTTTTAGACGACAGAAGGCATGTAGTAGGTTGTGGACAACAGGTTTTCAGCAACGTTTTGATCATGTTGATCATTTAGAGGTCTTTGAAATTTGCAAACATATGATATATGAGTTATTATATATTCTATTAGGTATTAAAAATATGATACAATAGGTTTATGGGGTTAAAAAAGATAAAATATGAATGTTAGTTTATAAATAATATTAATAATTACCCTAATGCACTGAAACTGTGAAGAGGAAACATTTACGCACTATCAGTTCATGCTTTTATGATTCTGTGAAGGCTTTAAGAGTGGTTTTTAAAAATATGCTTTGTAGGGCAGATTTGCCGGAGTGACTTTCAGCATGATCCAAATGGGAGAAGTTTTGTTTGCCAAAGCTGAGAAAACTGTTGTGGCAACAGTAAAACAAAATACAGGTAGAACTATAGACGCTCACACAGAAAATGCTTACCGGTGTGTGTGCGTTGATGTGCTTTCAGGTGAGAGCTCTTGGTGTACACCTTCCTGCAGCCGTTGAAGTAACAGCGATGAGCTCTCCTTCGTCCTTCAGGTGACCCCTCACCTCTGACCTCATCCCCTCTCGCCCCTTCTGCATCTTCTTTAACCTCCATGAGAGGGAGTGAGGGTGAGGAGGGCGGCGTCGGGGGTGTGTGTGTGATTACATGCTGCTGCTCAGATACGCTGTGATCCAGTGTGTGTGTGAGCACTTTAGCAGATGTAATGATCTTCTTACAGCTGCTGAATAGTGAACGGGAAGCCGTAGCGATCCCGTCCTGCTTGGGGATGGGAGCTTCCGGCGGGGACGAGTTCGGTTCAGTCTCACAGCAGCGCAGAAACTGGTTCCACAGATTGTCAGACTCACAAACTGATCTCAGATCAGCTGCAGAGACATAGGGCTCATTTTGTAGATAGCGCTCAAGCTCAAGACAAGTCTATAAGAGAGAATCAAGGGCAATCAGTGACAAACACCAACCAGAAAACATGCACTCTATGAATCTAAATAGTTTATCTTACATGAAATATTCTGAATGAAATTGAAATCAGCTGTCATTATTTATGCACCGTCATGTCATTCATATACGACTTTCTTCTCTGGAACACTAAATGTGAGGTTTAGCAGAATTTCAGTGGCGCTCTTTTCTAAACTATTAAATTAAATGGAAATGGACTCTGCTGAGCTCCAAGAATGACAAAGTAATCCATACTCAAATATCACTGAATAATTGCTTACATTTCTGTATGTTCCTCACATGAGACTTTATAGGGATTTTTGGTACTGTACAGTGTTTTGGAGGAAAAGAGCAGCTCAGAGATTCAGCAAAGCTACTTCAGCGTGGCACAGAAGAAAGTAAATCAGGTTTGAAATGACATGAGCGTGTGTAAATGATGGCAGAATTACCATTTTTGTGTGAAATTCATATTGAAAATATAACAGACAAGCCTATGGCAGATTCTTCTGTCACACCTTATGACATTTAATGATACCATGCCACATTTTTGTAACCAAGACCTTGAGTAATATGTCTATATGTAAAATAAATAAATAAATAAATAAGCAAGCCTACCTGGAGAAATTAGTAAAACGTCTGTCACTCAATTGAAAATATAACAGACAAGCCTATGGCAGATTCTTCTGTCACACCTTATGACATTTAATGATACCATGCCACATTTTTGTAACCAAGACCTTGAGTAATATGTCTATATGTAAAATAAATAAATAAATAAGCAAGCCTACCTGGAGAAATTAGTAAAACGTCTGTCACTCCTCTCTCTCTCTCTCTCTCTCTCTCTCTCTCTCTCTCTCTAAAACGTTAACGTTACATATAAACAAATATAGCCTTGGTGAGCATAAGAGCATAGTATATTTGCTTTGAACATAAGCTTGGGAAATCTTATACACAAATGAATCCTTCAACGCTTGTTTTATTACTCATAAGTTTTTATTTAATGAATAAAACTGGTGGTTTATATTACCTGTTGCCAATACTCCTCTAGAGATGGTACTGCGGACAGGTATCCCGTGTCAAGGACACTCTGTAGCTCCTGGAAAATACTACACATGGGAATAACATCCATATTCCTCCCACGCGAAAAGTTGTCAAACCCAGCTGGAAAAGGCGCTTTCCCGCCGTGTCTTCACGCGCGGACGTAAGGCAACAGTTTGTTTGTCTTTAGCGGACGCACAGAAGCGCTGCACACTCCCAACTTCAAAACAAGCGAAACGCGTTAAGCGTCGTCCAAGCGGACAAATCAGAAGCGACCGGCTAGTGCCCCGCCCACTGGCTCAACTCCACCCAATGGGTGCGTCCGTTTGCCGTTCTGGTTGGGGATTGGTTATCGTTGTGTCTCCCTGTGTGGTGATTGGTGGATTGTACTTGGCGCTATTTCTGGGGAGGTATATAAACATACCCCCTTCATTGCAAATGAGGAAGTAGTTGTGGTACTTGCACATATATATTTTTTTGTAGCATAGATATATGTAAGCTATGTATTATGTACACACACCATACATAAAATAATATAAAAATAACAACTTAAGTATGGCTTTGCTAGCATGCAACATAAAATAATGTAATAAAATAATAACCATAACCATAACAAAATAACAAACATAAATTAATTTGAAATCTTAAAGAGTAGTTCCAAACCCGTATGAGCTTCTTTCTTCTGTTGAACAGTTGATGGGCACCATTGACTTCCATACTAGGAAAATAAATATACTGTGGAAGTCAATGGTGCCCATCAACTGTTCGGATATTAAAATTTTCCCAAAACATCTTCTTTTGTGTTCAACAGAAGAAAGAAACTCGTACAGGTTTGGAACAAGTGGAGGGTGAGTAAATGATGACAGAATTTTCATTCTGGATCTACTCCTTTAAATATGACCTTTGTGAGAGCCTGAGAGGAAGAGATTATTCACGGATAATCACCATCAAATGAACTGGATCATTGAGACATTAACTCCAATGATTCCTGATGAGTCTTGCAAACTGGATAAACCAACCTACCTCAGTGTAATGTTCGGTTACTGTTCATCATCAGAGCAACAGTGGGAAACTAAACAATAATCAGTAACAACTGAATAAATGCATGGAGGACATTTGAGGTGAATCAGATCTGAATCAATTTGTGATTTCTGAGTGTGTTTTTGTGCTTTCCACACCCATAAAAGCCTTGGATAAGCAACACTGTGGTAAGGATTACTCAGTGTAAATACCTGGAAGCATGAACACACACTCTGTTATCTTCAAAGCATACATTTTTTGCCCCATAACACCGAGGCATGTCAGTCTGTTTACAGTCATAAGCTTTCCCCCTTATCAAGGCTGTGCATATAATACACACACACACACACACACACATGCACCAACATGCACGTACACACAGAGAGGGGAATGTGTACACTGGTGACTCATATTTTCTGCGATTAAACACAGGCTAGCACACATGCTCTCTTTCATTCTGTCAAAGAAAGTATTTTGCAACATACTCAAAATCACAGAGATTGTTTTCATGGTAATTCATGGAAATTACTGCATAGTAACGTGAAGACATCAACAAACGCACAACAAAAACAAATAGATAAAAAATAAAATGCAAAATCATACAGACATAAATGACACACTGAAAAAAATAAAGCCTAAGCCTAAAATAGCTAAACAAATTCACACAAATTGCATTACACAAACCATCGCACAAATTAAGTGTGATTTTAAGTTCTACAAAGATGTTTTGGCACATCATAATTTGAAAAGGAAGTAGAAATATAAGATGTGGGAAGTAGTGAAATGTGTGCTGTGTGACACTAAATATTCACAATAATTTTGCAAACAATCCATTTAACTAAATCAGTTCTAAACAAGATTAATTTGCAGAATCACACAAAAATTCTCCAAAGTCTCCATGTGGCATTCATACATTACAATGTTTCAGTAAAATATATGGAGGTCATCATTTCTGTTTATTGTTATATAAAAATAATCAGGTTACTTTTTGTTGTGATGTGAAAACATGCCTTGGTTATTTTAACTAGATTTTTATTGTTCTTTACTTATTGCATTAAACATTTAGAATTTATTTGGCAATGCTTGTTTGGTTAAAATGGTTGTATTGTGTTAGTGTGCTATTTGCCCATGATCTCTCATATCGAGCCTGACAAAACACATTGCTAATAAGAGATGGAATTTAATGGAAGTAAAAAAGACGTACAAGACACCACAGGTTTGAATGCTCAGCCAGGGTGTGTGACTGAATGTGAGAATTTATACTTCTGTTACACATAGTTATGGAAAGCAGTACTGTCACAGGTGATTGAGAAACGTTCTTTATAAGGGATCGACATTGCAAAATTGATGACATTATGAAATTTGCAGCATTCATTTATATTGTTGTGTGGGTCTTTGTTTCTTTGTGGTTTTGTGGATGTCTGCGATAGGAATTACAAAATACAATGAATGTCTGTATGTTCGTGTGTGTCTGCTCTGTTCCAGCTTGCTAACGTTATTACATAATACTGTTTCAGCAAGTATATGCACACCTATACCTGGGAGTGTTAAGTCTTGATGTGTCATATCATATTGTACATTTTATTTTTCTTTCAAAGACACTTTTGTTATCAGAGTAATAAATAACAATCAGTCAAATGGAGAAATAGAGAGTATGCCAAATCAAATTGGGTTGAAAAGTTACTGCATTACTGATCTTCACAAGTCCATATGCTTATTTGCCTGCATGTGTCATACCTGGACAGACAGGACAGGACAGGACAGGACAGGACAGGACAGGACAGGACA